TTCCCGTCTAAAACCCACCTCCTCACTCCCCCCGAGTTAACGGGCTGCGAAACGGAAAAGTCTTTTCCCGCGCGCATAAAGAGAGTTTCCGCGCCGATTGCTCGCTTTTCTCTTCGGATCTTCCGATGATCGGGTAATACGACTCGACCGAGTTTTTTCCCCTCGCCTCGTAGAGTCGAGAGGCAAATAATTCCTGGCGCGTTCGCGCCGTCGCGTGCGCGAAAAATATTAACGCGCAAGATTTATCGCGCGCGCCGGATCGGCTTGTACGCAGACCGAGCGATTCCGCGCTGATACCGCCGCCGCGAGAAATATAGGAACGCGCGATTATCGCAATTAGACCGGTGCACGGTGCTCGGCAATTTTGCGTTATCGAGGGATATGTGTATCGTCTGGCCGACCTCGCGGCAACGTGTTGCATAAATTCTGGGGGGAGGGGAGGGGAAAGATCCGCCTCCACGCACTTTAACACATCAATATTTTAACGTTCGTATTTGAATGTAAATTAATGTCCGTACGAAGATATAGGGGTAAATGTTGAGTTTCCAAGCGCTTGGTTCATTCAACGGGCAAATTAACGAACGTCATGCGTGTATCGCACACCATGATGATTATAATTATTATCTGCACACATGTACCGAATCGCGCGGAGAGAGGCTTTATTTCGCTTAGCCGAGATAACGAGGTGTTCGCGTCGCGTACACGCGCCCGCACACGCTGCAGACAGACCGTTGAAAATTTAATAACAAGTAACAATAAAAACGGTTATTTGGACGCCGCGTTATCCCAGGAGGACCCCCGACAATGGCGATAATGGCCGCACAAATGTGCGTCGGTTGCTCGCGTCCGAGTCCGGATTATTATTCGCACTGCGTACACCGAGGGGGCGGATTAAAACGGGTTGTTGCATGATCAGAGACACGGCGGATGTTATGCCGATTTTCTCGTGCAATATCAATAGTATCGTCACGGCTCCGACCGACCCCGTTACGTTAATAACGCGCCGCTCTCGTCGCGCGACATGATTGTCGATCACGTTTGGCTCTTGCGACAAACGTGGGCACGTTTAATTTTTTGTTGAATTGGCGAAGCTTCCTAACGACTTTCTTTATCTCTTAGATAACAAACGGAGCCGTAACAAGGGGACAGCTAATTCTTTACCCCTTGAATTTTGCTAAATTTTTAATATGTTAAAGTACACCCCATTCACTAATACTATAAGTACTGTAACTCTGTCCAATGCGTAATAGATTATGAAATATTAATGTTTAAAATTTTTCGTGTGTATAATTGCTCTATATACAGAATAAAGTTTATGTATTATAAATGAGAAAAATAGAATTATAATAACATTACAAAGAAATACGTCACAATTAATTAAAATACATTACATGACAATTAACCTTTGGTGTCGGAACTTTCAATTTGTTCACTATCGATAATATGGTCACAATGGATACACGTTTGTATGATATCTATCAGAGAAACATTTAAAACACATTAGTAATTTGCGCCAAGCGCGTTTTATGAATGCAACTTCTTTGCACAAGCATGATTTATGTATCATTGATTGGAAAAAATTTTAAACATTAATATTTTATAAACTGCACATTGGACAGTTACTGTACTTATTAGTGACTGGAGTGTACTGTAACATAATAAAAATTTAGCAAAATTCAAGGTGTTGGTTATCCCCTTGTAAGATTAGCTGAGTGAGCAAACGTTTCGCAACAATTTTCGATCCTCCGAGAAGTTTTCAGAATGGCTTTTGCTATTTCGCGATACCTACGTTACGTTTAGATGATCGAGAATATCGTATGGTATGGATACAGAAGTTAGCGTGACTTTTCGCCTCTACAACTTCGTTGTCAAACGTTACCAAGCCGTTACGCGTACGTATACGTATATCCCTTATCGAAAAACAGCCTTTGGCGAAGCATCGAACTATCGATGGTTCACCGGGGCAGATGTCGAGAAGCCGCGATCCATGATATTACACAATGCATACGTAATGCGCCCGCTTCGATGCGGCTTCGCGAACTGACGTGTCCACATATCCGTCCATGGCGGATATGCATCGCGAGAGCTTGTATCACGAGACATCATTTCGCGGGGTGGGGGGATGGTACATCTGGGCGCGTTAATGCGAAAACGACAGAATCATTTAGCGACATTCTCGACCTCGGTTTATCTGAAAGCATGCAGGAATTTATCTAGACTTATCGTAGAAATTACAATAGCGTATTAGATATTATCAAATTAAATTATAAAATTAAAACATCGTCATAAAGTTCGTCAAATAATGTCGTTTCGCTACGATTTGCCGCAGATAATATGATGTAAAGGTATAGCGCAAGAAATATTTTATAAATATCACCGTAGTTTTAATAATAACCAAGGGTAAATATTGACGTAAAGAACGTCTATAATCGAGGCGACGCGTACCACGTAACACAGTTTCGCTAAAATTTCTCCCGTTCTACTTTTTTTCGACGATAAAAGCACCCTCGATTTAGAACTCATCCGGAGCGGTGTCCGTAGGGGCTGTCGCGAAACGCGCGCGTTTCAGAGGCTTGCGCCCGGGGAGAGATTTATTACGGTCCCCTTTGTCGTACGAGTGCCAAAAATGTGTCGTATTTGCAACGCGAAGGATCTCAAAAGGGAACAGATATCAAAGTCGCGTCCATTATTCGAAATGGATATCATCGAGCTCTGGCCCGACTGTGTTCTGCAGTTCCCCCCCCCCCCGCCCCCCTTACATATGACGACGCGACGCGCGACCCTCCCCTTGATGTTAGCGATTTTCTGCGCACAGTTTTGGTCGTCGGCTTTACCGAGAAAGTCGCGCGGCCGATTTTGCAGCATACTTTGATGCGAACGCGCTACGCGAGGCTTAACTGTTCCCAAAGTTATAGCCGGGCATTAGACGACGTCGTACAAATGCACAATCTACGCAAAAGGGGAGAAACGCGCCATTTCTCACAGTCGCAGTTTCGAAACTGCATAATAGGAAGTCGCACATTGGATGAGAGCACGAGCAGTTGTGTGTCTCGACGTTGTGTGTCTCGGACGTAAAAATCCCAAGTATTGTAGCTTGCGTGTCGACTGATGGATATCGTGATAATTCATTATAATGTAATTATTGTCGACTTCTTGAAATGCTCGAAACGCATTTTATGGTCTCTCCGAAGAAAAGTTCGCGGTAATTAACGTTGTACTTTGAAGTCCTGAATGGTGGGGACATCAATCAAATATAGCAGTCGTTTCGTGACAAAAATCAGACCGTAATGGTACTGCCGCATTAAGAACTCCGTGGAGAACAGTAGTTCGGTGAAGTAGTAAAAAGCGCGCGAATGCGGCAGCTGTTTACCGCAGTGAAACGTTAATCGCGACGATCGTGACGCAGCGAACGAAAGGCGGAGATAAAACAAAAATGTTAAGGGGGTCGCCCCCGCGCGCGACAGATTCGTCCGAAGTTTTGCTTGTCAGCAGTCAGATCGATATTTCCTAGTCGCGAAACTTTTCTCGCAGACGCAAAGTAGATCGGCTGTCATTCCCGATTTGTGTCCCGTCGACCGATAGAGCTTCTTGCGACACGAACTTCGCGATTACTTTTCTGCGGATAGCAGACTGCGCTGACATATATTTCTGCGAATCAGTTTAAGAGTATTCGGAGAGTTCGGTTTCCCTCTAGTTCCACGCCACAACTGACTTTTCTTCTGTTTGTCTCGGGCATTTGACAAAGCCCTATATCTCGTGTTTCTTATTTCGCGGTGCTCCGCGCGGCTATTTGAATAACACGAGCATTCTTGAACTGAGCTAAAAAGTCATATTAGCGTCATTTCGCGATATTTTCCATATATATATTACTGTCGTATACATATATGTATATATACATACATTTCGCGCAAAGTTGTTTGGTTGAAAAGTAAACGCAGTGAACTAACAGCGAAAGTAATATTCAGTGATAGAACGTGGAAAACTTTCCATCCAGAAAATTGAAAGCGTTTTGAATTTCAGATATCAATTTATCCAATAGGTGGCTCCCTTTAATCCGTCGCGCTCGTCGTTTGCGCTAAGAACATTAATTATCCCCGGAGAGAAGTTTCTTCTTCAGGCGCGCCCGTATTATCCCCCGCTGACGTGTTTACCATCGTCGTTTCACCGCGTCACGATGCGCCGTCTACTTTTTCCACCTTGGGACGACGTTCCCCCGATATAATTTATAGCGATATCTCTCCCAGTCGCGCGCGCCAATCGTAAACAGGGTATAAGACCAGCAAGAACACGATTGTATCGAAGTATGTTAACTATCCCCGTCGACATCTCGCGCGCGGCAAGAGGGTGGACGAGCGAAATGTTGTCATCGCGAGCGACACGCGGGACCGAAGGGATTTTTCTTTCGAGCACGCGAAAGCAGAGTCGTATTCGATCTTATTCGACGTGGCATGGCGGCTAATGCGAAGTTAATCTCGCATGACGCCTCCGCCACGTGCGGGGGCCGGGTTTCCCGATCTGGCTCGCGGAAAAGAGAGCGACGTCAACCGTTGCTCCTGATTTACCTTTAATGGCTTTTAATGCCCTCCCGCCGGGGACGAGCGGAGGACGACTTGCCTCTCGCAGCTTTCTTTCCTACCGCGAGACTCTCTTGCGGCAAGAATTACGAGCTTTCGATGCTCGAACGTCTTCCGCGAGCGCGAGATGGAAGTGCGGGATGTTTCGATCAATTTTTCCAAAAGTGTCCCGATTCGTTTTTCTACTGTCAGTGTCCTATAGCGATTTGAAACAACACCACGACATTCACTTATTTAACGCGAATGTAGAGATTATTATTCGTTCGATTTAAAGTTAAACGCGCTGATGTGACCAATAATGAGAGTATCATCATTAAGAGATATCCATATAGCAATATCTTTTAATATCTCTTCTAAGATCCCCGCTTATTTAATTGTGAAATATTATCATTATGTCGCTAATGGCCGTCTTTATTTTTATTTCAGGCCTCTGTCAACAAGACGCGGTGCACATCACGGCTATCCTCGGAGAGAGTGTTGTCTTCAACTGTCACGTAGAGTTCCCCGGTGAGCACCCAGTGCCCTACGTTCTCCAATGGGAGAAGAAGGTAGGCGACACGGTACGATATCGGACGATATCGCCTCTGCTCTCTATATCCGTGAGTTAAAAAGACGGGGGCACTCCACGAGAGCGCCGCGCCTCTGGTATCAGCAAGCCTGCCAGTGTACCATCGCGACATTTTAAACGACGACTCGGAGAGAATCATTCGACGTCACATCGAGCGAAAAGTCTCCTTTCGCTTCGCTTCCTCGAGCAATTGATGCGTGCAAAATCGTAAACGCGCCCCCCCTTCCGTCCGCTATTAACACCCTCGCGATGCTAAACGTTCTTTTTTTTCCTTTCGTCGAAATAGTCGTTACAATTTCGCGCAATCACCCGATGATGTATGGAATATAAAATAACGAGATCGTAGTGGCATAACATCAAGTAATAACGGCACGGAATAATGAAAAAGATCGACGTTTTTCGATCTCGCTTAATCCGAGACGCACTCCATGAGATATCGTAAATTTCTTCGGGTGGAAATCCACGGGAATTGTCGCAGTTCGCTCGATGCGCGCTCACTCCCGCGGAAAGAAATTTGCACTTCCGAGACTCCTTTTTTAATTCCCCGATTAAACGTTGCATAATCGCGAATTGGGGCGTGAAGAGGCAATATGGTGGGGGGGCCACGCAGATACGGCGCGCTCCGGCCTGTCCTGCCCGAATAAACAGTTATTTCTATGAATTCTGCGACCCAGCTTCTTTTTCTGACCGCTATAAAGTTAATGTCCCATTTCTAGAATTTTTATATAATGGTGAGTGAATTCTAACTCTTCCGAAAAACTCTGGAGTTCTTGAGTCTCGAAAAGATTTTTGGTGCCTCACGAATTTTATTCGACAGATATTATGATTCAAATCGATCCCAATTGAAAAGAAAAAGAAAACTGTTATTATGAAAACTATCAATTTGCATACAATAAAACTGTGTAGTTATCCATTATACCTTTTTGAATACCTTGTATTTAATCGTCAGAGAATTTTTCCTTTCTGTCGTCGCTTATCTTTCGTAATAATTGACAGACGCGAATAATAAAGTTTCACTGATTATTCAAAAAATTAAAGCAACACTTGCATTTTTGATCGAATATTTACGGAATTTGGCGCCAGCAGTTTTTCTCAAATAACCGCACAAAATAATTTCCACAACGCGTGAACATGAATGAATTTACATATGGTTACATACACATACGCTAGCGAGCTTGTACCAGTGAGGCAGAGCGCAGCGGAGGGCACACGTTTTTGAAATGTTACTGCAACGTTATTGTTACTGAGAGAAACTTTAAATTGGCCGTATATTTACGATTTGTTGGCTTACGCGCTTACGTTCTTCCGTTTGGTCGTTTTGTATATCCTGTTTTGATTTTGATCGGTGGAAACCACCGACAACGGCGAACGGGACGCGCCTCTCGTTCGTGCGCGAGCGTGCGAGCGAGCACCGCCGCAAATTACTCGCTCGAGTAGAGTAAAAAGTAATGTACTTTGTATTCACACGTTGTATATCTCGTCCGGACTGGAGAGGGCAGAGCACATTACGTACATCAATTAACGGCATCATCCGATCATTTCAATCAGTACTAACATGAATTCCAGATCATAAAACGCGCGAACGACCTTTTCTCATTCATCTCATGTGATGACCACATATCATCGCGATATAATACATATGTACAATGGAGCGGGCGATGCGGGTGCGCGACGAAAATGAGCGATACGCTAGATAACATAAATGTGATCACCGGAGCGAATCGAAAGCCGCTTGAAAAATAGCGAGAGCGATCCGTTGTAAAATGTCAATTCTAGTTCCTGGCGGCGCGGCGCATCGGAAACTTGTTATCGTGAATCGCTCTCGTGAAATGAAAAATTAAGGATCATCATGGTATATTCGCTTCATCGATATCCGGCTCTCTATTGGCATCATAATCCGCCGATCGATCAATCTCCTTCGAGTGCCCGCCAGGATTTCATTCCTAATACGGTTAACGCGCGCGAAATGTAAAACGCGGTGTTTTACACACCGCGGAGCCGTAAGCCTTTTTTTCACCGCGCCGCGAATCAACGATGCGACGTATCGCGATTTTTCGCGAGTACTCGCGCACACGCTCACAATGATATTCTCGTGCTAGATTTTTCATGCGAGATTTCGTTGCACTGTTTCGAGAATGAGAGAGAAAGAGAGCGAAAGGACCGCCCGAATCGTAACGTGTATATTACTTTGACTACGGCGCATATAATTTGGTATCCGCGAGAGGATACCCACGCAGAATCCACGTTCGTAAAATCGCAAGACATTGCTCGTTCCGATTTTCTTCTCGATTAAATGCATAAATGTCCGAGATAGTACACGTTTACGACTCGTCGCGGCTCTTTCGAATGACGAGCTCGCCGTTTCACGAATCTCTTCGCGATATAAAGAAGCGAGAAAAGCAAGGGAGTGCCCTTCAGTTTCTCTACATCTTGGAATTTTACGTGTTTTTGATTGTACGCGTGCGTTTCTTGTCGTTCGTGAACTTTTATGTTTTATATAATCTTTAAAGTTTATTCAATGAATCTCTTATCTCGCGACGTAGGATGCAAAAATATAGCAGACGTAAAGGGATGTTTCCTTTTATCTTTAAATCGCGAAATGACGTCAACTGTTCGCGATACTCTCTAAAAGTCGAAGAGTGAAATGCAAGTGCGTAACGAAAAGTAAAAATTGAGCTTGTGCACTTTGATTTGCCATTCTAAGAAATAATAAAATTGCGCTCTATAAATTGAAATGAAATTGCACTCCATTTGAGTGAAAGGGCACTCTTTCCAAGTATAGTAGATCAGTGTCCATAGTGAATTATGTCATTCTACAATTTTGAAGTTTTGAATGGAAAATTTTGCTCTTTTAGAGTCATTTATCATTTATCAGTCGGTCTTCAGTGAATCGTGATTCACTATAGCTTTAGAGTGAGATAGCATCACTCTGATAAAGTAGCTGCTCTAAAAATTGGAATAAAAATTCTTATGAGTGCCCGCATTTACTTAAATTAGAGTGACAAGCCTCTCTTTTGGAGTGACTATCGCAATCACTCTAATATTATTGTATTAATGGCGAAACCACTCTATGAAATTTAGAGAGTATCAATATAGGAATGATCAAACGGTGCGATACATCGCTCGCAATCAAAAATAAAAACCTCTTTCGTTCTTCAAGCTCGACTTTCGACGTCTATTTTGATTCCTCGTTTCTTTTAATGCATCAACGTCCAGTTTAAGTATCTCGAATTACCCACGCGCGGTTTAGTCCGCGAACGGCCAGCTCGTCCATCACGAAACAATGTGGAGTAGCGCACTTTTCCCACTTCTATCTCGGGGGCGGAAAATTGAAAAATCATGTCTCTGTCTCCTCTAACCTCTGGTGCCTTGCATGCGTTGTTCGCTGGCGCACGCGGTGGTGGCGGATTTAATCGGCGGGGATGGGAAAACGCGCGTCGCGTGTGGCTAAAACAAACATAGTGTGACTGTCGCATGAAAAATACGATGCTATTGTCGGCGCAATTAGATAGGGCAATCGCGGCTTCGGCTCGCCGTAAATTACGGGATCGTGTTTCCCGGATCTTGCCGCTGTAAAAATTAGCCCCACCCTCCTGCGATCATCCGATCACCACTGCCGCTGCATGATCGTAGTCTGCGTGTAGAAAATTTTGCCTGCCAAGTAGCGTAATGTAATATGTGTATTTATTGTGTATTAGTGATGCGCGTATAGTCGCATGTATGTCGCCGCGCGAATTTGTACCGCCGCGTATCGCACTTATCGGTCTCTCTCTCTCGCGATCAATAGTTGAAATATCTCGCTAATCCGGTAAGCTCCGCCGGTGCGAGATATCATCTCGCCGATCGGCGTGTACGCGTGCATAATGCCGCGAAATAAATTGATTAAAATTAAAGCGTTGCGCCATCGACGCCGGGCGTGTGGAGACTAACGCGATCGAGAGCGAATTATAGGCGTCGGGTGTTATTTGTGTATCGGATGAGATTACACCTGTACGTATCGCGTAAAACGCGTAAAAATTACATACGTTCGAACGCGCGAGTAAAATGCGGGCGGGATAAACGCGGCGAGATGACCCAGCGCCGCGGATCGGGGGCTCCCCTCGCGGACTCCGGGGATTTCCGGTCGATCCGGCGTCGCGTTGCCGTAAACGCATTACTGTGCATTCAATATTGACTTCGCAAACCTACCCTCGTCCCGGATTAATTAATTAATTGATCGATCGCGCGCGCGCGCGCGCGCAGAAGACTACCGCGATCGACGCGACCGCGACGGTTGAACCCGACGACGTAATCTTAGAGCCGCGTTCGTACACTTGAGCACGCGTGCTCGCGTGCTCTCGCACCCCGTGCGTGCTCGAGAGCGCGAACGCGATTCTATATGATGATCGGCGGTAGCAAACAGCGATACATGCACATACGGTGCCTTCACGTGACGGTTAGGTACCGTGCGAGCGCACTTCCGACGTAGGATCGATATGATAGAAATTAATCGCGAGTATAATCGTGTCGTTGCCCCGATGGTTACCCGTATATAGCGAACGTCGCGAATGCACGCAACTCCACGAGCGAATCTCACGCGTCGAGGACCGCGTAACACATGGCGGACAGACGGGTTTTATTCGACGCCCTATTGTATCTGCACGCCAGATTTCGGCCGCGACTATGGCTTGACTTAATCAAACGTCAATTTGCTCGATAATCGCTTTATGTTTGTATATATAATCGACATGGATTAGTAGGATTTCAATATAAAGGGGACACGATGTAGGAACCGCCATGTTTCCTCTTAACGTAATATTTTCGAAATATACCTCCTGTATAAGATAAAATGGTTTGTAATAATGAATGAATCAGGAATGAAGAAGCGTGTAAATATCATTTGCAAGAAAAATAAGGTAGAAGCACGTTGACGAGCTCTTTGAGATCAAAAGAACGCGAGGTTAATCTTATCTCGAATGGCTATATATACTTTCGTGAGAAAAAAAAGGGGCG